TGGGGGAGGTGGGAGAGTGAATGTAAAAAAAGGGAAGAGCCACACAGAAACACCACGAGTAAAATGTTCTTAAAGGCAGTGGGACGGAGGGGAGAATTAATCTGCAGTACAGAAGATAATGAGTGAAAGGGAGTGTAGATGAGGTAGAAAATAGAACCAGATGCTTCAATTTGTGGCTGTGCAGGAGCAGAAAATCCAGAAGAAACAGATATGGCAGTTCTCCCCAACACCTCTCCATTCCCGACACTCAGCTTGTATTCTTAATTATCCTCTAATTCCAGGAGATGATAAACCAGGCTGCAGCTGAGATTTAAACTGGAACCAAGAAGGGAGCTGATGGGAGGTTGGCTTCTATAGGAACTTAGAATCGTAGAACAGTTAAAGATTATTGAGTCCCACCCCCTGCCATGAGCAGGGACACCTCCCACTAGCCCAGGTTGCCCAAAGCCTCATCCAGCCTGGCCTTGAACCCCTCCAGGGATGGGGCATCCACAGCTGCTCTGGGCAACCTGGGCCACTGCCTCACCCCCCGCACAGGAAAACATTTCTTCCTCACATCACATCTCAGTCTCCCCTCTTGCAGCTTAAAGCCCCTTGTCCTACACCCCCTGATACAAAGTGGAGGGGAAGGGTCAGTGCACAGCAGCGGGACGGGGAGGGCACCCAAATGCCGGCGGATCTGGAAGGCAGCAGGGCTGGCGGTCTGACCGCTGCGCGATGCAGAGCATGAGTGGATCAGATTTGTCCCGTACGGTCACGTTCTGAGAGGGACAGTCTCTGCTTTTGCAACCAAAAATTATTTCCCCACAAGGATTTCCAGAATACAGACTGAAGTGTCTGACAGAAAGTTACGAATCCTGAAAACATAAATCTATGGCAATGGTCAGGCACAGGACCGCTGAGCACCCTCACATCCCGACGACAGAAGCATCTGTCTGAGGTTAAACAACTGCATTTGCCCGTAGTTACCATAAGTCATTTAAAAGTCAACATTTATGGCCTGGTTTTCACAATGCCCTTTAACAAACTGTGGAGGTTTGTACTCGCAATTTTTCAGGGAAAAAAACCCCAAACACCACAGAGGCTGAACTCTGTTGTGGGTGTGATTAATGGCTCGGTCCCGGCTGCACCTGCAGATTAAACCGCAGCATCCATCAGCAGCATGCCTTGGGGGGGCTAAGTCAGTGCTTAAGGAAAAGATCAAACCCCAAAGCTTATTAAAGCAAAGCAGCTGTAAGAATTCCTCGCTCTCCCACTGAGAATGAAGTCTCAGCTGCTGGCAAGTGCTGATGTTACGCTTTGCTGGGGGCAGCGTGGTTTAGGACCAGCGCCCTTCCAGCTCCTCCGTGGGCAGAACAGAATCGCTGCTGATGCCCCAGCGGGGCTGTGTCCTGCCCATACAGCCACAAACCAGCACCAGCCACGCAATCTCATCCCATATTTAAACTCTTTTTTTATAATCCCCTGCCAGAGCAATGAGCACCATTCCCATACCCACCCTTCATCACAGCAGTGATGTGTCGCCTTTCTGCCTCCCCACATTTTTACTACCATTGAACACCTGCAGAAATCATTCAGGATAAACTATTTAAATATGTCCCCGTCCAAAAAAAGATTCCCATTAACAAAGCACCCTCCCGACCGCCGTTCTCCACCACATCTATTCATGACACCCTGGGTTTTTGCCGAGCAGATCAGCTGTGGGATGCTCTTGCCGTGCTGCCTAACCCCAGCTCAGAGCAGTTACTCAGCACTGAAGTTAATCCCCGAACTGAAGTTAATATGTAGACGTGCGGCGGAGCCAAGAGATGCATTAAAGAAGAGCACTGGCAGAGCCTCCCAGGGCCCCTCTCGCTGCCTGCCAAGTGATGCTCGTGGGCTGGCTGCCAGCGGAGCTCAGCACTGCCTGGCTGTCGCTTTTTTAAATCATATAAAGGGCACTCTCATTCATTTGCAGACTGTGTAGGCTGGTCGTAATGTCAAGAAATGCGTCTTAGTTCCTCTTTGATAGCCGTCTGCAAATTGGCATTCTGCGTTCAGAGTTACTGTCTCCCGCAGCACCCCGAGGGCTCCGGCGCTCCCAGCAAATCCTCCGCAAAACCCCGGGAGCTGCAGATACCCCCCCTTGGCCGCCAGCCTCTTTTTTTATGGTTACAGACAGCAATTCTGGTTTTCTCCCTATAGTTCACTCGCCTCTTTTATGCAGAGAGCGAGTTCTTTGGCAGGAGTTTCCCTCTGCCGTGTGGGGGTGAAGCTGCACAGCTGACACCCCGGTTCCACCGACACCCCCGGGTCTCTGCAGGCAGCGACTGACGGCAGCAGGCAGCACAACCCACCCGATTATCGGGGCACCGTCCCACCTCCCACCTTCCGTGGGCTCTGCTTCTCACCTCACACACAAGATACGAAATGATGCAGAAAAGACAAACAAAACAAAGCTAAACAAAATGTTTAAACTGGTTTCTCTCTTTTAAGGATCTTTATGCATTAGACCTAGAACCATACCGCTACTCCGGAGTGAACCTGACCGGCTTCCGGATCCTCAACGTGGAGAACCCACACGTGTCCTCCATCATCGAGAAGTGGTGCAGGCGGCGCCCAAGGCGGAGCTGGGGCTGCTCAGTGGCGTGATGATGGTATGGGAGGTTTAAACAAAGCACGGGGCAAGTCTGGGAAGCAGATCAGAGAGCAGGGAAAGCAGGAACACCAGTTAAGGGCTACCCGTTATAGTTATTGGTGGTTGTACCAGGAACGACTCACCCCAGGTGTCGTTCCCCCCATCTCCCCCAGCAGCCCCACGCCGGCTCCCCGGGGCTGGGAGCGCAGCACACGGCCAGCCTGGGTCAGGCAATTCGCTGAGATTGATGCAGGAGGAAGAGCCAAATCTCTGCCCTGAGATGGGCTTTGCTGCAGCTTTGATGACTCCTTTTAGGGTCTGATGGCAGCTCTGCTCTGCTGAGTTACTGCTCGGAAGGTACAGCACCTGCTCGCCCATCTGTCTTCCCTCCGGAGAGGCTGTCTCGGACCCCAGTAATTGCTGACTGCCTCCCTCCTTCCCTCTCCCGTTAGATCTGCCAGAAACCCCCCACGAGTGCCAAAGCCTCCCAGACTCTCACCTTGAAACAGCTCCTTGTATCTCTCCTGTTCTTTTTTTGCCGGAGAGGAGAGCCCCACCATTCTCCTTGAGCCCTCTCCTTTCCACAGCATTGCCCGCAGCCACAGCATCGCATCACCTGCGCTGGGGCTGGGCTGTCCCCGCCGCTGCCGGCTGCTCCCCTGCTCCCCGTTTGCTCTTGAGAGGGGATCCTGCCTTTTATTTGTGTTCTCCTGGTGTCTATCCAGCCGGGCCCTGAGCTCAGCTGGTCGTTACAGGATGTAACTCATCATGAAACTGCTCAGAGATGTTCTTGCACTCACTCTCCCCCAGCCCTGACTTACCAAACCTGTCCCTGCTGCTGCAGATACGAGCCCACAGCACGCAGGGCAGGTGCCTGCTCTTCATGCTCGGGTGCTGAGGCAAGGGAAGGTCAAGGGAAGGCTGCCAGCGGTGGAGGATTTTCTCCATGGCCATGTCCTGTTAGATATTTGCCCAGCTATTTGATGTATTGTTTTGTTTTATTGTATTTCATTGTGCTGCTGCTACACTCACATCTGTTGTGTGGCTTTGTGAAGCCAGCAAATAATGTATTTTCCCTAGGAGGACTTACCATATCGGAGTGAAAAATAAATCCAATATTCTTCATCAGTGTTTGGAGATGAGATGGGGCATCTCAAATTGAATCTAAAACCATCACATTACATAGAAGGAAAACAAAAAAAAATTCTCCCTAGTTCGAATCACTGAAATGAGGGAAGATGTTACGAATCTGCGAGGTCCTGATTTCAGTTTGGGTCATTTTAGAAAATTCCATGCCCCCAGACAAGCCATTTAACTTCTCTGTTTCTTATTTCCCCATGTATAAAATAGTGTGGATAATATGCTCTCATACAGCTTTTTTTTATACTCACACCAAACAGACTCAAGAAGAAAATTCTGTTACTGTCTTCTACATTTAGAAATATCTTGCTTCCTTGTTTGACAATACAGTAGTAAATGTGCTACAGCAACCAGAACAGATGCACGCAGACAAACGACACTTTCACAATCTCTGATTTTAAGACAGAACTATGATGTTGTCGTCTAAAGAGCCACGTAACAGAAAAACACGCTCGTGAGGCTTCATCATGTGCAGAGTTCCTCGCTTTGAGGACGTGTTCTGCATGAGAGCTCAGCCCAGAGGTTTAGACATGTCCCGTGTCAAAGCATCTGCATTTATAGCATCTCTCGAGAGCCCAGCCCTGCGCTGGTGCGCTGGCTGCAGGGTCAGACCCACAGGAGGTGGGGCGGTCGGCAGTGCACCAGGACGGAGGAGCCCTGGGGTCCGCTCGTGACTCGGGGGGTTCCTGTGGCACGTCACTGATCCCCCACTGCTCCGCTGGCCGAGTGCCCCTCGCTCTGGAACCGCTATCGACACAAACCCTTCTCCCCTTGCCTTTAGACAGACGCTGCCCTGCTGTATGACGCCGTGCACGTGGTCTCCGTCTGCTACCAGCGTGCCCCGCAGATGACCGTCAACTCCCTGCAGTGCCACCGGCACAAAGCCTGGAGGTTCGGCGGCCGCTTCATGAATTTTATAAAAGAGGTAAAAGCATGATTTGCAAACGCAACCAGCCCTCCCGAAAGAGCCCCCTGCACGCACCCCTGCGCTCGCGCCCCGGGTTCGGCTCTGCCTGCAGGAAGGAGCCCTCATGTAAGAAAAAAATGAGAGATGCTGCAAACCTACCAGTATGTCCTTGAGATAAAACCCTTATTCACCCCCAGGCCTTTTTAAATCTCTGTGCCTGTGGCTCTTCACATGGGAAGTTACGGAACTGGCTGCAGCACAGGATAAACGACTGGGCCCGGTATAAAATTGCCTATTTCCATGGCAGAGAGAATGAACTTTTTTCTTAATCAGCACTGAAGATGGTCTCTCTCCTCTCTCCGCCTCAGTCCCTCTCTCTCCCTGCTCTTTTCCATGTTTTGTTCCCTTCTGCAGAGAGCTGCTCCAGCTGGCTGCCAAAAGCGCGTGTAAATAATTTGTTTGGTTGGCTCCTTTCACAAATTACCCTGAGCCTCACACCCCAGCGCCCGCCTGTTGTTTCCCTTCCTGGCAGCGTGTCAGCTTCTTGCGGGGATGAGCCTGCTCCCCATCGCCACCAGAACACGCAGCGATCGCTCTCCCTCGGAGCCG